TTCGTCCGATTTCGCTATCCTTTTGACTTCTTTGAAGACATTATTCTCTGATTTTTATCGAGAGTTTTCTTAGGTGACTTCGGTCATTTAAGATGTAATTAACTATAGGGGCTTGCCCTTATAGGAAGCTTTTCCGAAACCAGCTTAAAATAAACTCTATTTGATCATTTGTATTAAATAGTGAAACTTGTCGGCAAATAAAATGGTTTCGCAGACCCAAACGGATGTCATATGTTTTCCTAGTTTATTTGATTGAGTCTCATCCTCAAGTCTTGTGTTTATCCCTCGGGATAGATACAGAATTTGAGGTAGAATGCTCTTTCATTTAAACTGCGAAAAATATGAGGTCAATTTGATTTCATATTTTTCTAAAATTACATATATATATATACGTAAATTAAAACGTCATTCCGAAGCGGGCGATGAGATTTCAATTCCGGCTGCCGACAGCTTCTTACGGGCGGCCCCCCCAAACAACCTTTCTTTCTTTTTTGTGCTGACAGTTATTTAGGTGCCTCACAGGCTAACAGTAGAGGGATGAGATTTGAATTGGAAAGACTTGAGCAATAGCTTATGATGAAAAATGAATAAATATTTATAAATAAATAAGGCAGTCTGGCTATATTTTTTTATAAAGAAAGAAATGTATGCTAGACCTGGTTATCGTTAATGAACTAATGAGATGTTAATCTTCTTGATGAATCATAGTAACTCTATTATTGCATATATTATTCCTTTAATCAAGGCACTTGGTCACTAATTTTGGAAGAAAAGTTATATTGAAGATCAGGCTTTGTGGTAAATTTTGATTTAAACATAATCCTACCTAAAATTAAATCCTATCTAATAGTTAAAATTTGAACCTAGAATTATCCAAATATGTACTACACCGATAGGATTTTTGGCAAAAATTATGATAAATAAAATATTTTATTTCTTCAAAGCAACAATACAACTATGAACATATAAAATAATGAATAAATACCTACAGCTCAAGAGGTAGGCAATCTCCCCCAAACTTATAATTTGAAAGGCACGAAATCTCTATCAAACCCTAACCCAAAGACTTAATATAGCAATCTCTTGCATAACCCGAAACATATTAAACCATATTTATATTAAACCATAATAAATGATAAAAGACTAACGTGCCCGTAGGACAATAAATACAAATTTTCTCTTAGTTGTCAATCTAACATTACTCCCGTCACAAAAAGACACAAGTTGAATAAAAGAGAATTTATGCAAGATCAAGCTCTCATGCCTTCACTCCACACTGTGAAAAACTACAATATCCGATCCTTGTAATGGTGGGAAAAATTTTTATTACACAGAAAACATAACATCGCTCGCTTCTCTTGAATCGTTGTCTCTGTCTGGTGCTTTAAGTTGACCCCTGGACAGACCCCTATATTCTTCTCCTTTGTCACCTCTTCGTAAAATGATGGGTCTTCGATGTCATGGTCATTGAGGCATCCTTGTGTAAGTCTCCCATTGTGTTTCTTCTGTTGGCCTTCTCCATCTGGTTCTTGTCCTTTATCATCTAGGCTAGCTCCATCATCGCTCCCAATCCCAGCGGTCTCAACAGTCAGAGTGTTGCCCGTATGTCAATGTTTAGACCCTTCATGAAATTCTTCTCCAATACTGCTTCAACCCCCCCTCCCCCCCACAGTTGTCACACTAGTAGCTCGAATTTCTCCCTACACTCCATAATAGTTCATTTCCGAGTCAATTCAAAGAATTGCTCTTGTAGATCTCATTCGCGAATGACTTGAAAGGTTCATACAAGCATGCATTTAATTCTCTTAACGAGCGAATCAAATATCTAGCCATCCGCCACTGAAACCATGTTAGGGCTTTCCCTTTCAAACATAACTTTGTCGCCATTAGCTTCTTCTCTAGTTTAGCCCATTCACCGCAAAATATTGTTCTACCAGGTACACCCACCCATTTGTGTCCATCTTCTCGAAGATCGACATCTTTAACTTTCTAACCCTACTATCTCCCCAACTTCCTCTCTCATCTACTCTTTTCTCCTATGTATTAAGGGTAATACTCCTTCGATCATAGCCATAACCAATGGTGACTTATATTCTTTCTTTTTCGTGCTCCTCCATACCCATTACATAACCCCTTATCCATGTTTCAAACCAACTGTCTCTAATGGAAATCTCTAATCCACCCAATGCTTTCCTCCCCGTGTTCCCCTCTTCCATTCTTCTTTACTTTCGATTTAGCCAATGAATCTCAAGTCAACCCTTGGTTTTGCAAGCTGAACCGTCGATGGAGTCTTGTATTGCATATCGATAGGTCTCATCATCTCCTCCAAGCACTCGAATTAGTTTTCATTGGATGAAAATTTTTCGTCAATGTTTGTGAACCTTTCTAACTTGCTCATCTCTTCCTACAATTTCTCCAAATCATCTGCTTTTTCTCTAAAGCATCTGTACCGCGAGGTAGTAAGCCTTAATCTGTCGTCGGCTCTCCAAGTTGCTTGAATCACTACTGTATTGTGACTAGGGCACACCAGATCTCAGGCTTGCTTCTCTGTTTTAGCCCCGATCTCTATGTGTCATTCCTCAACTAGCTCTAATTGTGATTGTGTTGCAAGGACAGAGGGGAAACAGAAGCAAGGTGAGAGCCACAAAGCGGGAATAGGAAAAAGATGGGAGTTTTGGGTCTCAATGCGCTGTGATCATTAGAAACACGGGAGCGTCGCGCTTCTCAAGCTCCCAGCTAGCTCGAGTTGTGCCTTAAGGAGGCACACGACGATCCCGTCAAAACTTTCCAACGAGTTTTGTCACAAATGTATCATTTATATGTGATCCAAGTGTGATCTTGTCGATAGAATCGCCCGATACCTTCGGTTCTATCATATGCTTCCGAAAGGTTGAATTGTGTGATCCCTTCAATCTCATCGGTTTCTTCTCCGCTAGGTTTAATCACACGAAACCTTCATTCCCAAAAGTCTCAAATATGATTTTGAAACTCCTTTCAGGCACCTATATGCAACAATCCTCTCTGATCTAAAATGATTCAGTAGTTGTATCGCAAAATCGATTGCTCGAATACCATTTGATAGAATTCTTGGCAGAAATTAGGGAAAATAAAATATTTTATCTCCAAAGCAATAATACAACTACAAACAAAAAAAATGAAAGACAAACATCCACAGAACAAAAGATAGTTGATCTCTCTTAATTCCTACAATTCAAGTAATAGGAAATCTCTCCCAAACCCTAACCTTCAGACTTAAAGAAAATAATCTCATGCATAAATCTAACCCTAAATATATTAGCTCTATTTATACATAAATAATAAAAGATTAAATTGACAAATTTGCTTTTAGGTGCCGATCTAACATATACCGAATTTAAAACAGAATAAATCCAATAAAGATGCAAATTTTGGTTAAAAATTGATGATTTAAAAATGTTAAATGTTGGTCTAGCTCATCATTTTTATATTTAGTTTGATATCTTTTGATTGTCAATGAGAATCTACCCTTTTGGGCTACATTAGTTGAATTTCACAACATCGGTTATTGAGGGCGCGTATTTATGCAAATGATTTGCCGGTTCTGTTATGACTTGAAGGTCGTGATTGTGGTTGATAGAAATTGCATGTTTGATTAAACAAGGGTGATCCTGCATATATTAGCCCCACCCTAGCTTGAGGATTAGCAATTTTACTTGTAATTTGATCAAATTTTGAGCAAATATGAAAATGACTTGATAAACTTTGTTTCAAATTAATGAGTCAGTGCCTTAGTTCAATCCTTCTGTTGAGTCCATTTTGAGCCAAACATGGACTCAAGTTTTGTATGCTATATAAAATATTTATGCATGTTTATGATTTCAATAGGTAACTTTGTTGCTAAATCTTTTTGGTTTTTGATTCGACATAATTAATTTGACAAAATTCAAACTTGTTTCGAGCCAACTTGATTTAACTTAAAAAATAAAATTTGATCTGTAGTTGAATTTGAGTCTACCTTCGTTTATTCATTTGAATTTTGAGCTGATAATTGAATACAGCTTGATGGACTAACAGACTCAAGAATGGTTGATACTTGTTTCTTCTCTTAAAATAACATCTAATTTTCTTATGTAGAACACGTGATTTTTTCCTTCTAAGGAAAAAAACCACACTGACGCCACCCACAAACTATGAAAAATTATCACTGGCATGAGTATATATATTGGGACTTTAAGTTCTTTGATCTAGTAGACGTCACACTTGTAAAATGAAATTGTTTTATATTGATATTATTGAATATACATGTAGCAACAACAACAACAAGCCTTTATCCCACTAAGTGGGGTTATCTACATGAATTATCTTTCTCCATTGTTTTATTAAGTGTCATATTTTTATTTAATTCTAGTAAATTAAGGTCATTTTTTATGCAACATGCCTAAGTTGTTTTAGATCTTCCTCTACATTTCTTAACATAGGTCAAATCTAAAACATCTGCTCTTCTAACCGGGTCATCAAATTGGTGATGTTTAATGTGACCAAACCATCTAAGGCGACTCTATTCTTGTCTGCTGCTGGAGCTACTCCAACCCTTTCACGGATCTATTTGTTACGCATTTTATCTCTAAGTGTAAAGCCACTCATCCATCTGAGCTTTCTCATCTCAACAACAATCAACTTAATTTTATGTTTCTCTTTTACAAGCGAATATTCTGCGCCATAAAGCATTGCTAAAAATTAAATCATGGCCATATGAACAATAGTTTAAGAGATCCAATAAATGACATGGAAAGGAAGCATATCTTGTACAATCTAGTTAATCCCTTTTCATTTGTTATCCATTTTTATAGTTATCCATTGCCTGCTACTCATTCAGATCCATATTTAGAGTAAGCAAACTTGGAGTTATGTGAAGGTTCTCCATTTGTTCATAGTGTTTTTTAGATAGTTTTCTTAGGAAATGCCATGCATTTGATAATAAAACTCTGGTTTTTTCCTTTGTTTTCAAATTTATAATGCAGGTTAGAATAGTTAGGGAGAAGGCAACGGGTAATGTATATGCAATGAAAAAACTCAAGAAATCAGAGATGCTGAGACGAGGCCAGGTAAATTATATCAAAGTTAATGACGGTTTCTCTCGAAGAGACCAGTTGGGATCACTTTTGATTTTATTTATTTATTTATTTTGTTTAATTCATGTTTTAATTTGAAACAAAATATGTTAGGTATGATATAATATGTTTAGTTGTTTTTAAAAGTACTCTCAACAACTTTTAAATGTTTCAAGTTTTTTTTAAAATAAATAAATATATATGAACACACAAAAAAAAATTCTAAACAAATATGTTTTCAAAATGAAAGCAATAACTAATACAAAAGTGATCTCAAACAATTCCTAAGATTTTCTCATGAAATTGTGACCAGGTCGAACATGTAAGAGCTGAGAGAAACATCCTTGCGGAGGTTGATAGTAATTTTATCGTTAGACTTTATTGTTCATTTCAAGACAATGAGTTCTTGTACCTTATAATGGAGTATCTTCCCGGTGGAGACATGATGACTTTGCTTATGCGGAAGGATATATTAACTGAGGATGAGGCCAGATTTTATGTAGGAGAGGCTGTTCTTGCTATTGAATCTATTCACAAGCACAACTACATTCACAGGTTTGCTGAAACTTAATATGCCATGAAATATTTTTCCAGTACCTGCTACATTTGTTCAAATTGTAAAGTTTTTCCTTTTTGAATCATAGAGATATCAAGCCTGATAATCTTTTACTGGATAGAAATGGTCATTTGAAACTCTCTGATTTTGGGCTATGCAAGCCTTTAGACTCTAGTTATTTTAATGAAAGGGAATATACTCTAGAGAAAAACTATAGCACTGGTTCCTTGCAAAATGAAAGAAGGTTATCAACACCGAAGCGCACACAACAAGAGCAATTACAGCACTGGCAGAAGAACAGAAGAACACTGGTAATTTACATTCTAGTTTCTGATAAATTTTATTCTCTATTTTGATGTCACATTTGATTTTGATTCTCCTTTTGGGAACATGAAAGTAAAAACCGTTGCCTTTTCTTCATAACTGCACTAGCATTAACTCAAACATCTAAAGATAATTTATTCAAATTGACAAAATATTATTACAAATTGATTTTTCGAACATACCATTTCTTTGGTTGATATATCAAATCTTAAAGCTCAGTGTGAAGCAGGACCCTTGGTACTAATATTGTCCACATTATGTGACAGTTCAGTTTTTATATTTTAATTATATTTTTATGTGCCTATATATCAAATCTTGAAGTTCAGTGTGAAGCGGGAGCGTCGATACTAAAATTGTCCACATTATGTTACAGTTCAATTTTTCTATTTTAATTATATTTTTATGTGCTTTTCTATTTGGATGATAAATTTGTAATAAGGGGGATCTTAGTGCTTATAAATAAGGGTTATTTTGTGTATTGGGGCAAAACTTTGGTTTTAGAATTGCGAGTTTCTTTCTTTTGGGAAAGTTGGGCTATCCATTCATTTGCCTTACAACTGTATCCTTGAGTTGGCAGCCTAGGTGGTGTCTTGCCGAGTGTATTCTTGTGCTTCCTTTACATCAATAATATTTCTTTTGTTGTTCTTTGCCTCCAGAATTCTTCTCAACAATTCTTGATTGTTTTTTTTCTGAATACTGTCATAACTCTCGCCGGTATTACTTTTGGTACCAGAGATCAGGTCTTGCGCAGTTCTTATTCTTCTTTCCATTAATTTGGTTTCTCCATATCTGGAATTCTGTCCAGATTTCTTGTTGTTTTCCTGGTTTCTCTTTTCGGTGGAACAGCTTTCTGCCAAGGCTGTTTTCATCCTTGTTCTGTTCAATGCGCACGGTTTCAGGTTGCCGCCCTGCCGTTTCATAAGTTCAGCCTCAGGTTTTCAGATTTCCAGCCTTTGCGGTTCTAGAAAGCTCGGTTTTCTTCTGCCTCACCTTTTGGAGAGGAAGTCATGGAGTGGTCAAAAACCTAGCCAAGATTGGTTTTCTAGTTCTCCTAGTTTTCAGTTTCAGGAGTCAAGGTCCTTCCACTACAGCTAGGAACAAGAGGCGTTCCCAATTCTTGGGATTGACTGCAGTTTCCAGAAGCTAGACTAATTCCGTGAAGAGGCGATACTTTTCTGATTCGAGCATCCAGAATCATTTCCAGTCAACTGCGTCATTGTTCCCATCTGAATTTCTATGAGATCTGTGTGGTAAAATCATACCGAGATGCCAGAAAATCATCCAAACCAGGTCATCTGTCAATTCTAAGAGAAGTTTACTCAAATCTGAGGACAGATTGGAATCTTGAGGGAATACCGTGTAAGGGTTCCACTTCTTGATGCAAGATTCGTCGGCTGATCTAAGATGCCTCCATGCAGGAACATGGCAAGAACCAATCAAGAAGAGTCCATAGAGGATCTTTTGCGTGAAATGCAGCGTATGCAAGAAAGACTGGCAGTGTTGGAGCAGAAAAGTATGGAGGAATACTCACTGGCACACGATCTTGAGGCGGTGGAAGAAGAAGAAGGTGAAGATATCTTTTACCATGAATCTTCCAACGATGAGGCGCAGCCCCTGCGTTAGTGGAGGAGTGAAAGGCACAACTAGATTGTTGATTATAGAATCATGATCGGCATTTCAGATTTTGAAGGCCAACTAGATTCGAATGAATATATTAGTTGGCTATTCACGATAGAACTCATTCTTGAATTTAAGGAAGTTCCCCTAGAAGAAATTGTTAAGCTAGCCATTAAATTGAGGAAGAATGTCTCTCTTTGTTGGAAAACGTGAAGAGAACGCGACAAAGGGAGGGTCGATCCAAGATTATCACTCGGAGCAAGATGAGAAAGAATTACAACGTAAATTCCTTCCGAAACACTATTAACAAGAGATTTTCATTCAACTACACCACCTTCATCAACAAAAATAGTCCGAGGAAAAATATGTTGCTGAATTTGAACAGCTAGGGCTTAAATGTGACCTTTCCGAACCCAAAAAACACACAATTGCTCGTTTCTTGGGTGTTCTGGGACCATTTATAGCCAATGCGGTTCAACTCCAGCCTTTCTGGACACTATAAGATGTGATTAGCTAGGCTGTGATTGAAGAAAAGCAACATAAATTGGGTAGGAACATTCCAACGTGCAGTCCTACCACTGACTTGGTTCGTTCCAGTAAACTGGGTCAAGCCAAAACGCATCCAAGCGGATGGAGGGTTGAAAACAACAACCGAACAACACTAGACCAGCCTTGGGGTACTGCTATCACAGAAATGGGAGGAACTCACACCCAATAGATGATGCTTCAAATGTTATGAGTTTGACAACATAGCCTCAAATTGTCCAAACTGACAGGTCATTTCCTTTGTAGAGGAAATTGAACTAGAAGAAGATGATGTTGTAGAAGAGGAAGACAATAATATGACAAGGGAGCAAGTAATACATGAAGATGAAAGAGAATTACTTGTAATAACATGTCTCCTAAGTGTCAAACAGTCTTTTAATAAAGATTGGTTATGACATAACCTTTTTAGAACTCGGTGCATGGTTCATGACAAGGTTTGTAACCTTTTCCATCGATGATGGAAATTGTGAAAATGCGGTTTCAATAAATATGGTGAAGCTTGAGCTAACTACTCAATCTCATCTCCATCTCTACCAACTCATGTGGCTCAAGAAGGAAGCTGAAATTAAAATCACCAAACAATATTTGGTGCAATTTTTAACCTGTTAGAAATTTCAGGAAAAGGCGTTATGTGATGTAATTCTAATGGATTTTTTTCGTATATTGTTTGGTCGGTCTTGGCAATATGACCGTCATGCGATTCATGAAGGCTATGCTAACATTTATTCATTTATCAAAGAGGAAATTCAAACTTTGTTGGTGTTAATGGGGTAACTTGAGTCATGGACTAAAATCAACACTTTTACTCCACTGTTTTTAAAATATCTAAAAGAGATAGTGACGGGTACCTCTTAATCATCATCAAATCTTCAGGGAAAGATTTACTTGAGCTACAAAGAATGAAAATGTTTGTTATGACTCAATGTTACATTGCACAACATCAAACTGAATTTGATGGCTATCAGAGGCAGGATATTGATGTAGGTGCAGAGGCCCTGATGGGAGGAACTGAGCAAATAGCCCTTGCTGTTCATTTAGTGGTGGAGGGTCTAAGGATGAAAAGTTGGAGTCTTCGTTTGAATTCAGAGAAAATTTGGTTGATGTTGGAGAAGATAATATTAGACCTTAAATATCATGACAAAAATTTTGTCTCATCCAGAAAAATTTAGAGGTGGTAATTTTAATGCAATGAGAGATATTGGACATGTTAAAGAACCACTTAACCATAAGCCTCGGTAGAATCTGGAATCAGAGGGATTTGGAGCTAATCATATGACGAGATCAATTATGGAAAGAGTTATAGAACCATTGGTTTTTACTATTGCTTGCCAAGGAATTGAAGCCTAACAGTTTGAGGCTACGCCAAGGCCAGATGGTAAGCAGGTTAAAGTTAAATGCGGTAGTAATGAATCTCGAATGGCAGAGAAAGCCACACATTTTCATAATTGTGTTGATTAAGTGAATATAATAGCTAGGACAGATGCTTAGATCACTGATCTTGACATCTCGGGGGATTAGAATGACTCCATCATTTTCAATGTCTCCCAGTTGGAATTGAAGACTCGAGTCGAATCTTCTCCAAACCCGAGAAAATGACTCAGCAGCATTAGTACTAGTGCTGTCCACAATGTTACAGTTCAGTTTTTATGTTTTAATTTTGTTTTTGTGTTTTTCCATTTGAATGACGAACTCGTAATAAGGGGGTTTTAGTACTTATAAATAAGGGTTGTTTTGTGTATAGAGTTAGCAGCCTAGGTGGTGTCACAGTGCTTGGATGTTTTAAGGGGGTCTTTGCAGTTGTATCCTAAAGCTAGCAGCCCAGGTGGTATCTTTCCATTTGTATTCTTGTGCTTCATTTATGTCAATAATATTCCTTTGCCTCCATAAATTTTCTCATCAATTCTTGTTTAATGTTTTATTTAAATTCTACCTCATATCTCTTGCTGGTATCATAGTGCTTGGATATTTTATTACATTCTTCAATTATGCCTGTTATTTTTTCATGAACTAGTCTTATCCTAACCATTAGAGCTCAGTTTACATTCTTCATGACTCTGTCAAGTGCAACATGCTGCATTAATAATGATCTATGTAAAACTTCTTTCACAACTTCTACCAACCTACCACCCTGCTTATTTTTTGTTGACATGGAAAAGCTCATTGATAGGTTATTTTGTATTTATTCAAATTGTATAGCATGATAAAGAGTATAGCCAATTCATGAAACTATCTCTTATGCTATATCTTGGGAGAAATAGTTGTACGCAACCTTACCCCTCCATTTACATATAGCCAATTTTAATGACTCTAAACCTGTAAGCTCCAAATACTAGAGGGAACTTAATCACTGCTTCATACCCACGCTTTATTCAAACTAAATAGTATATGATGATGCATTTTTTTTTAATGTTTTATGAGTACAAAACTTAATAGAGTGTTAACTAATACTTCTAATATTTTCTCTTGATCAATCTATACTTCCATGTACACATCCATGACATTGGAAAATTGCAGGCTTACTCAACCGTTGGTACACCTGATTATATTGCTCCGGAAGTTTTGTTGAAGAAGGGTTACGCAATGGAATGTGATTGGTAAAATCTTCTTTTTTTTCTTTTTTAGCGACTATGATAGAAATGCTGAATAACAAAACTAAGATTCAACCACAGTGATTAGTAAAATCTTAGCTTCAATCTGATCTGCGTCAAGCAGTCTTAGCAGCATGTTATGTTGAATGCAGGTGGTCTCTTGGTGCTATAATGTACGAGATGCTTGTGGGCTATCCTCCATTCTATTCTGATGAACCTATGACTACATGCAGGAAGGTATCATAACGTACTTCTAACTGCTTTCACCAGACAAAAACTTCATGGCCGAAACAAAGAACAGTTTTTCTTTTCTTTGTTGCTTGCTAATTATGAAATTCAGATAAAATATTTCCTCAAAGTTTGTAACTTGAAAACATAATGTAAGATTCATGAACTCTTGGAGAAGTTTTCTAATCTTAGCAATTGACCTAAAAGAAAGTTCTCAGAACTGACTAACTTTATAATATTTTATGAGATAGCTGTTGGATTATATTGGTTGTAAAATGAAAATCGCTAGTTTCCATTATTTTTTTTTTAAATTGGAATTTTCAAAGACGTCACAATTTTGTATTTCATTTGCCATAGGTTACCAAAGTGAAGACTTAGACTACTATAAAGATGTAGGCTTGTCCTACAGAATACAACAATTTAATTAACTAGAGTGAAGGTGTCGCTCAATGACTATGATCTTATCATCATTGTAGTGTAAAAGTAGAGAAGAATTAAAAAAATTACTAAGCTATTTGAAGGAGAAAAATCATATCTTGAAACATTTGTTCCCCGAACTTGATACCATGTTGCTTGAAACAGCTCATGTATATTTCTTAGGTGAATTCATTTTTATACATAAAAAATATGTTGAATTTTGTTTTTTCAATAAATAAACTTCTAGCTTATTTCTTGAAAATGGCCAATTGAAGTGGATTAGTCATGAACAATTTCATGCAGTTATTAGCTAACATTTTTTCCAAACCATGTATCTATCGCTTTTCTCATTATTTCATCTGTAATATATGAATGATGGGCCTATAGTTAGTTTTCAAATATATCTTAGATTGTAAAGCTAGATTTAGGTTTCAATTTTATCTAAGATAATGAAGTTATTGTTGATTGAGAATCCTTGTAATAATTCGATCAGATAGTTAATTGGAGAACACATTTGAAGTTCCCCAAAGAAGCCAAGTTATCTCCACAAGCAAAAGACCTTATGAGTAAGCTCTTATGCAATGTTGATCAGAGGCTTGGCTCAAATGGTGCTTATGAGATAAAGGTATTTAGCTTCCTGTTGGTTATAACACATACTTAACTTTTCAATTGCCATAATGTTATCATTTTTCTTCTCAATTTCAGAATCATCCATGGTTTGAAGGTATTGAATGGGATAGATTGTATGAAATGGAAGCTGCCTTCATTCCAAATGTCAAGGATGAATTGGACACCCAAAACTTTGAAAAATTTGAAGAGGTGATAACATCAGTGTTGAGTTAATTTCTGCTAATTTTGTCAAAATTCCTCACACGAGTCACACAAACTCTATTTGTTTCTATTATTGCAGCCTGCAGCCCCAGTTCAACCTTCATCAAGACCAGGACCATGGAGAAAGGTAAACTTTCTTCTGTTTTCTTTTTCTGAATGTTATTTGTGGTCTTCCATATTTCTTAAAGATAAATCTGCTTACTAGAAATTATGAAACATAATTGTGTTATATAGAGCAATTTCACCCTTCTTGGAAACCAACGGCTTGTTTGGGATCAATTTTAATTTTAATTTTTTTCTTTTGCTTTTAAAACATGTGTTTTTTACATGTTTTATTTTTTTATTTCTAAAAACAAATTTTCTTTTTTTTAAATCACTCAAAATAACTTTTAGGTGTATTAAGTATTTTTAAAAAGAATCATAGTTTAATCAAATTATTAAATATATTTTATTTCAAATCAGAACAAAAAAAAAAAAAACAAACAAACAAAAAAGAAAATAGTAAATAAATAACAGAAGTTATCCCAATCAGCCCCAAAGTTTCATAATAATTTGCTTGGATTTGACACAATCAATCAGTTCGATCTACGCTTCATTGCATTTTATTGCTGATGTTAAAATTTTTGGAAACTATGTAGCTTTAAAACTAGCTAATTGTTCTGGGTTCCGAATTTTTCTTACTTTCTTTTCAGAAAGGTGTCAATTTTAATGACCAAAACAATCTAATCAGCTCTATATATCAATTTCCCTCGAAGATTTGTCGGAGTAAACAATTGATGTCTGCAAATTGTCTTCTTTTCTTAGCTTAATGATCTATTTTTAACTAAAAATAAATTATAGTCATCATCATCATTAATCTTTCTAACTATTTATGGCTAGCTATATGAATCTTCACTTTTCATTCAGTTTTGTTGAGCACTGTTTGAGATGTTAATGTATTTCGTCACAAATCATTATATTAAATTCTACTCGGATTATCTTAGATCCACCATTTCTTTTTGTTAACACTAATTTTATTGCTCATCGAAAGTATGTGCTTACTATATTTCAAACAGATGTATAAATATTTTTACAAACACCTACAGCCACCATGAACAGACACTAGTTCTCTTAGATAACCTCTTTTCATATAGTTCTCCTTAACACTAGTTCATTTTGGCCACCCAACATATCCTTATTTATGTTCACATGTTTTTTATAATTGATCCAAAATATGTAAGCTCACCATATCAAGATATTAAAGGACATAATGTATATTTAACTTTGTATGCCTATAATACGTTTTTGAATTATGGATTTTTCTTTGTTGTTGTGTTGATTTTATGACTTCTATGCTTCCTGCAGATGCTTTCTTCCAAGGATATCAACTTTGTGGGTTACACCTACAAGAACTTTGAAATTGTTAATGAAAATGAAGTGATTGAGATAGGTTAGTTTTTCTTAAATTTTTTTTACTGGTATTTTCATACATGCAACACAATTTTCGTGTATTTACATATTTAAGATGATATTTACTTGTGTAATACTTTAGAAAAATTAATATTAGTTTTATTTTCTTATGTGCCGTTAAAGATTTGAGTGTTATATGAGTAAATATTAAAATAAGCTGCTAAATATGTAAATGGATAAGAAGTGTTGGTATGTTTGCGAATCCCCCTTTTTTATTTTATAATAATCTATTTGTTTTACATGATAATCACCTTGGCATCAGAACTAATTGTTCATCATATTTTGTCACCTATGTTGCGATTTCTGTCGTAAATTTGTTAGTTTTATCTTAGTAAATTTTTATACAATTTTTAGATTCAATGGTGAAGAAATGCTAGCCAAAATTATTCAGGAATTTGCATTTCTGATCTTTGCAGCTTAAAACAAGAACAATAGAATTTGCAAATTCAAGGTTACTAGACCAATTGGAATATTTGAAATTTTTTTATTTAAGCCAGATACTAAAACTAAATTTATGGTGAATCTCAAATCTTCTAAAAACATAATAATAATAATTTCCTTAGCTAATTACTTGTAAATAATAGATTTTAGAATTTTTTTCATTCTAACTTATCTCTAGGAATGAACACTGCCACTTTCTTGCTGTCAGCAGCGCTTAATCCTATTGTTATCAGCTGTAAAGTTCAATCTTAGATAATAAATACAAGGAAGATTTACATACCGCACCACTCAATTCCCATGTATTTACATATCTAACATGTAAACTTCAAATTTTAAGATGTATTTCTCTTTTTTTAAGTTAAAATGGTATCTTTTATATGTTATGAATGATTTGGGTTAAGTATAAAATGTTAAAAAGTAAAATTTAGGTATTAGACATGTAAATACATAGGAATTGGGTGGTATGTATATAAATGCCCTTGAATACAAATGTCACAAGTATCCATTTGATTCAGTTATATTTAATTTCTGTTGTCTCATTTCTTCCATCTCTTCTCTTCCAGCTGAACTAAAGAAGAAAACTTGCAAATCAACTCAACGATCAGTCAAGTCCCTCTTCGGTACTTTTTCCTTGGATTACTTTTTGTTTTATTTATTTGTGTGTGTGTGTGTGTGTGTGTGTGTGTGTGTGTGTGAGTGCCACGTACCCCGTTGGTTGGCGTCCACGGTATAAGACCCCTCAGGTCTTGGGTTTGAATCCGTTCTGGCACAGTTAGCCTTAAGGAGGTGGTACTTGAATTGTTAGACGTATGAGGGGTGTATAATAGCCTCTGGCCATTCCTTCTCAATATATATGTACATATATATTATACGAGTCCCAGGCATTCCCGATGCGCCTAACAATTTGAGTGTATGAGGGGTGTATAATAGCCTCTGGCCATTCCTTTTCAATATATATGTACATATATGTTGAAAAGGAATGACCTGAGGTTATTATACGAGTCCCGGGCATTCCCGATGCGCCTAACAATTTGAGCACCACACCCTCCACTGGGGGGAATCGAACCTCATACTAGATGGGACTTACAACAGACAAGAAGATGCCGGACTAATTGATTTGAGTACGCGGCATATATATAGATATATACTGTGTGTGTGAGTATTATAAAATATGATATTTATATTATTATATCCTTAAATGGCTTGTTTCATATCCTTCAGATGCAGAGGAACAACAATCTAATGGTTCTATTGTTGGAGCCTTCGCTGAGGTGCGGCTTTCAGAGACAGAAGAGTCGAAGAGACGCAGTTCATCTGCCTCTACTTCCTAATTGAAGATGCTGAAAGAAGCATAGACAATGTGTACAATTGTATCAGTATTCTTACCATTGTGGCTGCATGAGATGGACTATATGTAAATGTGTTATTTTTAATAATTTATTGAGATTAAATTTATTTAGATTATATTCTCATTTTTTTAAGTTGTGTTGTAATTTAAGTTTCCATAATGATTTGAATAATTTTTTAATAATTAATTTATTTAAATTGCTTAGTTTCATAATTTTTTTTTGTTTTTTTAATGTAATAATAAATTTATTGGTTAATTATTAACTTGTTAATTTTTGCTAACATTAACATCAGCCAGTGAAATTATTTTTAATTATTTTTTTTAATATTAAAATAATGACTCATACAGTGCAATTTTATCTAGTTGGATATTCATATGTTGGAGTACAAATAATTAGTGTATGCTTTACCTTTCATTATTGTTATGGAAAACTAATATGAATTCTTAAGCCAAACATTGCACCCTAAGAGAATTTTCTAACTTTAGTAGAGGAATCTCAGGTGAATCTTTATAAGGACCTTTCTAAACTCAAATCCTTAAATTGAGTTTATTATAGTTGTTGCGAGTACATCATGATACTAAGAGTTTCAAGTATTTTTTGGCGGGTTAAACGTTCCACGTATGAGTTCGATGTGGTTCATTCTTTTCACTTGCTCGCTACATCGAATTAGTTCGACTTGAATTGAAAGAATCCTTCTAAATTTTTTAGTAGCCCTAATATCAATAGATAAGCCCACACAAATAATTATTAATGAAACATCCTACATAAGAAATATCAACAAAAGAGGTTTATTGAAAATATACTTGTTTGAATTTCTATTGTAGTCGTATCAACTACTAAGTCAAATATTTAATTTTGATACTAATAATTTGTATAAGATTTTCTCTCAATTCTTAAAAATTTACTTAGAAAATTTTTTTATCCATTGAAATGCATAATACTTAGATGAATTGACCCGAATAAAGCTAAGAGTAGTTGAAAAGAGCTGATAATATTTTGAAGTTATCTAGCTTGAGCATTAATTAAAAAAATTATGCCCATATAAATCATGCATTAATAAACACTTTTCTGTTTTTTGTTTAGAATTGATACGAAAGTACACAATATCATTATTGAAGCTAAAAAAATTAAAACAGTGCATGAAATCAGCCACAACAAGTTGAGCAACCTATCATAGATTATATGAATAGGTTGTTGAGGGATGTATTTTTTAAACAATGTCTCTACGAACATAATAGATGAACATGATGAGTTTAATATGGATCAATCAAATGATGATAATAAATTCACAACACTCTTAGAAGATGCAAGGAAGGAGTTGTATTAGTGTATGACATTCACAAATTTATCTTTCATATCACACTTATTTCATTTAAAGTGCATAAGATCTTGGACTACAATATTTTTTATTATGTCGCTTGAGCTATTAATTGATGTCTTCCCCGAAAAGGCATTAGTAATGAAGAACATTTTTGAGATAATAAAGATAATGAAAGTATTTGATCATGGATATATAAAGATTGATGCATCCCTTAATAATTGTACATTATTCTACAATGTTAAGGCTAATAAGAAAATGTGATGTTTTTGAAACATCAAGATGGCCCACTTATTAAAAAAATAAAATTATTAGAGGGAAAAAAATTAGTATGATGTTAGAGAATTTTGTTCATTATTTCTCATTAATTTCAAATCTAAGAAGGTTATTCAATATAAAAAGTAAATGTAAAAGAGAAAATATGACATGATAAACATAGAAATAAAGATGTCATGTTGCTACGCTTAGCCGATAAGGATGCGTGGAAATCGTTTGACTATTGGAATCCTAATTTTGCTTCAGATCATTTTAGTATCCTATATTTTTTTTTCTTAGGTTGGAATGAAACAAACATCCTTTATCTTATCTACAATAATACTATGAGAGAAGTCTAGGAAATATTAACATTTATCTTCAATGGTTAATTCAAGAATTGAGTGAATTATGAAATGGAGTTCAATATTATGATGAAACAAATGGGTAAAAAATTTAATATGCATGTAATGTTAATATGGACTATAAATAATTTTCTAGTGTATGACATAATATCGGGGTGAAGTACTAAAAGAAGATTTGTTTGCTCTTGTTATGTTGAACATATAATTTCTTTGTATAATGGATGAGTGATAATCAATTTTTATCACAATTTGAGTATTTATAATTTACTTTAAATAAATCAAATATAAAGAAAGTGAAACTGAAGACAAAAAAGCACACAGTTGATGAGTGAAAAATATTTATCTAAAGTAAATTATTTATTTCACCTACTGTATTAGAATAAAAAATATTTATTCAATCATATAGAATAAAAAATATTTATTTTACCTACTGTATTAGAAGTATAACATATTACAATATAATGTAGATATGATGCTTAAAAAAGAATGTATGTGATAATTATATATATATATATATATATATACGTACTTTTAATTAAAAAGTTTATAACATATTTTATATATATATATATATATATATATATATATATATATATATTAGATCTTAATATATCTAAAGATAATCTATAATTAAACATGTCAAGACTTAATTAAAATTCATTTGAAATTTGAATTGATTTCTCATATTCTTGAGACCGGCATCTTTGCCTCTAGTGAGCTTCACGATATCAAAGAAATAAAAGTTTTCATTTTGCGAAGTGCTAAAAAAAATTGAAATTACCCAAATATTATGCCTTAAATATCTCTAGAGATGTAAAAAATAATGAGTGTAAAATATTTGGCTTAGAAAGTCATAACAATCATGTTCTTATTGAAGATATTCTTTCAATTGTGCTAAATTCTTGCCCCATTTCAAAAGAAGTTCTGAGAATTATTATAGATATATCAAAATTTTTAAGTAATATGTGCTAAGGTCATCATTCTAAGTAGGTTAGATATGCTGCAGAGTAATATATGAAAATCATCTTATGTCATATTAAAAAAATTCTCCCATCATTTTTCATAGTTATGATTCAGTCGTTTGTTCATTTTATTTATATTATTAACTTTGGTGGTCCTTGTTGGTAGAAAAAAAGAGGAGGAAAAAGATATGATGGCTTGCTGGCACACTTGTTATGTTGGGTGTCCGTTATAGATTCTAAAAGACTTCTATCTAAATGCTCAATTATGTCATTTGAAGCATAATAAACTACCGCAAGAGATAAAAATATTTTCTTAAATGGATTTAATCATTCAGATAAGGAAATTTTTTAAAATGTATGAGTCTATGTAACCACAAATTTTTGCCTTCCTTGCAGGTGTAAGACAGAAGCTTGTTTTATTATAGAGTCTCGTATCGATATAAGGGTAAGCTCTTATAATTAATTACACCTCAAGAGTTGTGGCCCTCGAGAATACTCTTGATTAAAATATTAAATCGTAGAATGTAAGATTATAAGAATATCATCTTCAAGATTGTTGTTTTGGGACATCAAATAAATAGACTTAGTGTTAGAAAAGATTTTATTTAAATTGAAGGGTTGGGAATTATAGTCCAATGACAATGTATTATGGAAAGATCCATAGAAAATGTTAACCAACTATGGGAAGAAAGCGCACTTTAGGGATTAGAATTATAAATTTTTTTCAGAGAGTTGGGTCTTGATTTGAAAGTTGAATTTGGTTTGAAAGACTTGGATTAAGTGTATAGATGCTTTGCCTTGAGTTTAAATTGATTTGATTAAGGTGTGAATTAAAGAAGGTTTGTTTTGAGTTATGAAGGTTTGACTTAAATAAGGTTTATTGGTTTTTGTGTTATTTAAAGGTTAAAAAATTATGTTTGAAGGTTTGAAGTTTATTTTAATTTATCTTAAGTTTGTATGGATTTAGTTTGAAGTTTGTTTTAATTTAGTTGAAGTTTATTTGAAAAGTATAAGTTTTGAAGTGGAAATATTTGGGATTTTGATGTTTTGAAAGTTTGAGTTATGAAAAGGTTTTGAAGTTCTTAAAATATAAATATTAGAAGTTTTAAGAGGTTTAAGTTTTGAAAGGTTTATGTTTTGAATGTTTTAAATGGTTTAAGCTTTAAAAGTGTTAAAAGGTTTAAGTTTTGAAATTCTAAAAGGTTTTGAATTTTTAAAAAGAGTTTAGCTTAGATCAAAAAGGTTTTGATTTGGGAATGTTTTGTAGATTTAATTGAGAACAATTTGATTTAGGCTGTTGAGGTTTGAATAAGTTTTAAGTGTAGCTTATTTGATTCAACTCTTGGGCTTTGACTTGGGATGGAAGATTTTGATTGAATTTGGTCATTTTATTAAAGTGGAAGGCTTAACTGAGGTTGAAACTTGAAGTTGAGTTTTTGATTGAGGTTGAAGACGATCTCAGCTAAAAAAAAACCACTTGAAAATGGTGTCCAACTAAGGAATGATTACTATCCTTTAAAGAGAATTCTTATTGTAATGAATTTTACAAATAATCACTAATTACATGAGATCGAGTAAAATTCTCACAAGTTTTAGAGGTTTGTTACTAAACTTGGCTACACAGGATGGATGTGTAGAGCTAGTAGTGTCTAGGAGGCAGCATCATGAGGAGAAACTTCTGTGTATGTAGGGATGAAACATAAATACTAAATTTGTTAGTCATTATAGAATTGTACAATTCTATCAATAGGAGTTCATTTCCTATACATGTTGCCAAACTATTGTGCGTCAGAAGATTCATGGCAGTAGAATGATAATTGAATATATTAACATTGTATGATCCATCACACACATGGAAATAGAGAATTATTAGGAGGAGACACTAGGTTCTTTTTAGTAAAACCCCTAAAAAGTGAAAAAAAACTATGGAGCCTAGCCCAATGAAGTAATCCATTATATAATTACAAATGCATAGGTTAACTCTTCTCCTAAATTAGGGAAAATAGAATTACAAATTATGATAATTAAAATTAATGATAATTACAAATGTACAAAAGTAGTTTAGCATTCATAGCTATAATTGAGCTACAACAACTATAGTTCTGGGTGGTAATAATGATAGTTGGTTCATAAAAGTTGTAATTAGTTTCCATAAAA